AATGAGCAACAATATATAAGTGCAAATGACAAGTCTCGGTTAGCCTAACGCAGTACACGTAGCAAGGTGTGTGTGTGTATATATATATATATATATATATATATACACAAACAAAGAAAAACAAGTAGAATAGAAAGCTAGAGTTTTTTTTTTTTTTTTTTTTTTAAAAAAAAAAAAAAAAAAAAAAAATATATATATATATATATATATATATATAATGAAACCAACATCAGACAGCTGAAATAAAACCCTGTACCCTCACCATAACCAAACTTTTAGTCACTTTTTCATGACATTTGATCACACATCTTATTTGATACAACAACATTTCTATCAGATCTTCTCAACATGCGCTCCAGTAATAATTACCAGATGCCTCATTCGGTGTCCTTCACTCATGTTTAGCATCAACATCCCCATTTTAATTCATGCTGACATGGAATTTTAAAAAGATTTCAAACTATTTGCATTTACCCCTGCAGACACTCAAGGTCTCCACTTCAAGGCAGGCCATGGAGCGGAGAGACGGATCGGAGAGCTGCCGTGTCTGGAGTCCCATGGATTGCTGTGGGAAATGAGGACCGAGGCAAAACGGCGAGATCTGGCAGGAAAATCCCCAGCGTGTTGTTCGATTCCAGACCGTTCCGACAAGTTCCTTCACCGGTTCTGTCTCTAGACTGCTTGCATGAGTGTTTGTGGGTGTGTAGCTCTCCGCGAGAGTCAGCGCTCTCTGCAGCACTTCAGCTCTGGCTCCGTCACTGACTGACAGGAGAGGCGGGACTACAGAGCTGCAGCTGTTAACCCTCAACAGCACTGAACACTGGTTAAAAACAATAGTCCAAAAGCTAACTTAAACTTAGACAATAAAGAGGAAGCCAATGCTAAAATTTACACGTACAACCACAACTTCCCATACTTCTTTTATATGCTACTTCAGCTTTAGCAAGGAGTAAATATATTTTGTACCTTTTTTTCTCTCTTGCAAACATGTTGTCATGGAACAAAAATGACAAAAACAACCAAGCAGCACCCCAGGGATATCTCTGTTTGTCTCTGTCACTTAGTGTGGACATAAACTATTCATATTCAGGGTTTACAGATGAGAGTCAGCATTTCACTCTTCTCATTTGTATTTCAACAATCCGCCTTTCTAATAAAGCACTATGTGTCTCATGGGGATTCAAGCAAAAATGCCATTAAATTTCTTATCTACATCCAGGGATGTTTCTTTCATAGTCGCTGGAGATTAATATTGCAGAGAGGGAAAGGAAATATTTAAACAAAGCCTATCTGAATCAGCTAAAGTGATTAAACGCAATGGAACAGGAACATCCCGAGGGAAGGGAATAGGGAACATAGTCCCAGGCCCACTGAGGTCCTGTATGGTTTAGTCTGTTAGGGATGTGCAAAACTACATATTTAGTGAGCGGGCTGTGCGAACAATGAATTGGTCCTAAACAATGTTGGAAGGTTACTTTGGAAATGTAATGGTTACAGATTATAAGTTACCCTATTCAAAATGTAATAAGTAGTGTAACTATTTCAATTATTTTATTAAAGTAATGCAACTCAAAGATTATAATCATTTAATTTTAAAGCACAGCCACCACAAAATCAGACTTTAGCACCTCTTTTCACTTTGAGATCCTTCTGATTTTTGATTTTGCAGCACTGGAATCCATTTTTATCCTCGCCATTGTGGCAACTCTCAGACAGGTTTTTCAGCGGCAATGTGGATTGATGTAATTGGTAGATGTGCTGCTCAGTAAATTCAAACAAGAGAACCAATCAAAAGCATCAGAATAGCATCGCTTTACTAAACGGCTTTTAAATTACAGGAGGATTATTAACTTGGCATGCTATCTGAAAAATAGAACCCTTAAGGGGACACTCAAAAAAAAAAATATAATATAAATAAATTATATAAAAAAATGCAACGCAAAAGCCAAAAACATCCATCTGCATGTGTACGGTTGCAGTGTTTGTGTTCTACACGGAATTAATTTAAAAGCTCAACTTTAATAAAATTGTTTTACAGTGTAGTTCTAACAGCACTCACTAAAATATCAAAACTAAAACTGCAAAACAATTAATTATATATATATATATATATATATATATATAAAAAACAATAACTAAATTTAGATTTGTTTGTCATTGGATGATATTGTGACACATTGTGTCCACCCATAAAACGATATTTTAGCAATAACCCATCCAATGGAGTCTCATGTGAACTCACTGGATAAACAGATCCAACCAAAGATTAGTGTGAAAACAATCCATTTCCACTAAGCTGTAATGAGACAATACTAAGACTCATATGTCAATATAATATAACGTGTATGTCTCCAGATAACTTGTGGGAACATAGTCATAAATGTTTCAGTAGGGGAATTTGTGAGGAGTGGTGACGTTAAGTTTCACTACAACTAGACGGGTGGGTTGAAAAGAGGAAGGATGGGTACGGTCTGTCCTCCAGCCGGAGCAGGAACAGATCATGTTGATTCAGGCCAGTGCAACAAACCCTCTATGAGTTCACAATATCTTTAGGCAGCAGCGAGCAGGAATCAATTACGAGAAAATACAAGAAAAGAGTGTTCCTTTAAAGGTATTTAACGGTGCAGTTATTCTGATAAATGGCATTTACTCAAACGCATAACTTAGTATCTCGAAGCTGATAAAAAGCAGAAATTATGCCTTGTATTAGGATTTATTGCAAGTCTCTTTCAAGTTTATTATTGTATGCTGAATGTTATGAGGTGGTCTGTTGCACATTATGTTCTCATGAAATACACCTTGTACAAGGGCTGTAACCACATGACACTGAGGGTGGTGCCCCCAAAATTCATAACTGTGGTCCATCGGTTTGGGTTTTCAATGCCACCCATCCCCTCTTCAAAGATTTGTTTACATCTTTGCCTTGAACACATTTCTATCTAGTAATGCATCAAAGTAAAACACCTTGGCCATATCCATAACCAAAAATCCTGGACACACAATAAATGAATATAATCAAATACAATAAACAAGTAAAAAAAAAATACAGTTGCATTTGACAGCTTCTTGCTGTTTAAAGATGTCATGAGATTAAACACAATTGACAGCTATACTTTAAGTTTCTCCTCAAGTTTATAGATCTAAAAATACTCAGATGACAAATACAACTAAACTATTTTCCAAGGGTTTATATATATATATATATACACACACACAGCTACAGCTATATATACAGCTACTGTACCGTTGTATTTTAGGAAAATATCATCATATTTGGTGGTCTGTGGCAGCCAACCCCCGATCGAATTATTTAAAAATAAATATATTATTAAAAGTCCCCTGCACTAATAACCAAGAGATCCTTGGCATCCTTTTATGCACAACTAAGAAAACTGAAACACTAATGGAATTTGTAATGTTGTTTGCATTTTGGCAAAATATCACAAAATATCTTGCAAGCAGCAAATGTTGTAGCATATAGTACAAGCAGCACTTGATTAAAATAACTCTAGACATTTACAGCAAATAAACAGGGTAATTCTGAGGTCATGTTAAATACTGAAGTGTCTAAATGAGTCACAGTTTCATATCTATTTCAACGCAACAACCCTGAGAAACTGCTGATTGACACAGAATGAGATGAAGTTAGTCATGTAGTGGGGTCAGAAATACACTCATGCCTGGTGGGGTCTCTGTTTACTTCCCTTCTGCACTAAATTACCCAGCAGCCCGAGGACACACTGAAATTTTCAAGGGCAATGATGTCCATAGGGAGTGAAACATGAACATTTCTTGCGGTCGGATAGATGTAGTTCGGAAAGGTTCACTGCCATTCCGCCCACAGGACCATCCCTTTAGTGCCGTCTTATTAGGGTCCATATACCACTAAAACATTTCCAGAATGAAACTTTGGACAGGATTGTGAAAGCCAGACAGAAGAAAAAGACGATAACATCGTGGTGACTCAAAGAATTCAACATCACTTTTTAAAATGGCCAAATGTAAAGAGACAGTTCACTCGAAAAGGAAAAAAAAACAAAAACAAAACAAAAAACTACTCACCCTCATGTCATTACAAACCCTTTTGACTGACTTTCTTCCTTGGAGCACACACAAAAAAAAGAATGCCTGGTTGCTGTTTTCTATAAAATAATTAATGGGGACTTGATTGAAACAAATCATTTGGTTTTGTGAAATGATAAATGGATTCACAGAAAAGAACAAAAAGACTCAAAAGAACAATTCGTTTATAAATCAAACATTGCTATTTCTCTCATGAAGGCACTAGGAGGATGTTGCATAGAGCGCTTTTTATTTGACATATTTTGAGCCAGAGAGACCCCGTCCTCATTCACTTATATATCGGCATCATACTGGTTAAATGATAATAAAGATTTTTCTAATTAATAATTGTATGTCATTATTGGAAATACATAATTAAAATTACTGATTTTAGTTTTCAATGATTTGTTTTTTATAAAAAAAGGTTTTATAAAGTGGGTAACTGTTTACCATTTACGCTGTTCAGAGTATCATGTTTTCAGGCAATAAATTAAACCCGTCATAGTAAAATTCTTCGACAATAAGCTGACTCTTGATGTTTTGTTATAGTTTATCTACTTCATGTGCATGAAATAAACACCGACACATTCAAACGTGTCATCTGAGAAGTGTTAATTATCAGTTTTTCAGCCTTACAAAACTGAAGCTGAATTATTATTATTTTAATTTTTTTTGCTGTTTTGGATGAATATTTGATTGGTGAAATTATGGGTCATCACTAGACAAAATAGTAAAGAATTCAAACATCTGCCATTTATCTGTTACCAGCCATAGCATTAAATTAATTATCAGCTTATCGGTATTGTCCAGAATGTTACGTTACTGTATTTTTTATTTCTTTTCATTACTTTAAGATATCCAACAAAAATCCACCTTTTGTGTTCCACAAAGGAAAGAAAGTCATAGAGCTCTGGTATAATGAATAAAATAATTATTATTTCTGAATGATGAACTGTTCCTTTGAGTTACAGCCAAACGAAAACCACAACATGACTGCAAGCTTAAGAAACCTCAATATCTGAGGTTTTAGGCAATCATATTTGACGCAAAATCTATCACATTAGCTTATGAGTCGTGCACCCTAAAATGAGCCAAGAACACTTTGGAAAAGAGTTAAAGGGAGCACTTAAGACATGATTACATGTTGGCATTCACACGCAATTCCTGTGTAATTCCCCACGTCTTACCGCAAATAAATTTCTCAACCTTCTGGCAGGCCTTATTTTCTCAGTGTCAAATCGGGGCGGTAGTTTAACAGATGAGGAGGAAATAGGAGCTTGGGAGCAGAGTTATGGCTTACGGGCCTGACCAAATGGGCTCACTCACCATTCTTGCGCTCTTTAATGGGTAGAAGGCTCTGAGTGGGCTTCAGAGACAATTCCTCCAGGTCATGGGTCACCGCTTCGCTCCGTGGGCTCGGCACCAGCACCCCCAGTGCGCCCGAGTCACCCTCCACTCCCAGACTTTCCTGGGGCTCCATATCTCCTCAGGGGGAGAGGCAAGGGTCTGTCCCAGGACACTACCACAGTGGTACAGACGACTGGCGGGAATCTCGGACTACACTCTGCCAGAAAAACAAAAAGAAAAAACAAAAGGATTTCAAGTGTTTTGCAGCCCTTGTAAACATTAGAAAGCCCTACTGGAGCTTAAAGTTGTTGTTGTTGGGGTGTGGTGGCAAAACTAATTTACTAGTATGTGGTTGATTGCTAATAAACTTTAAATGGGCCAGAAATGTTGCTCAAAGGTTAATGTATCCATTTGTATCACATTGCTGAGATCCAAGATACATTTTGTTGTAAACTGGTGATGGTAAACTTAAAAATAAGCTCTTCTTTTAATAGCTTGATTGAAATCTGACCAGCCAATCTCCCAACCTTGAACTATCCACTCCCATGTATTTAATCAAGTAAGTTTGATGGTCCTCCCAGTTAACCTATAAAGAAAGCTCTTAAATCCTTATGACTGATGTTTAAAAGTGCAAGTTGTATAAGTCTTGTTGTGGCTCCAATCCAAGACAAGTTATACGGGAGTATATCCAGGCAGCACGTCTGGCCCAGCTGTTTAATATGTTATTCTGACAGATGCTTTACATCTTGGTACACAGAAAGTCCACTTAGGACAACTTTGTCTGTAATATCTGCTCGATCTAATTTTGCAATGTACTGTGCTTGAAAATATATGTAACCATATTTCATGGTTCAGACATGGAGATTTATAAAGCAAATATTTTAAATGACCACAGGGCTCCATAAAGTACAAGACATGTAAAATTCAATGTCACACTGCAAATTTATAATCAACATATCAGGGATACCTGTATGGCTATGCTAAAAGTGATGCAGACTAGTGATGCATATTAGTCACTTACCCTAGTTAGGCTAAATACCCATTACTAAAATGTATTTTGACATGCCTTGTGTTTACAATTTCAAAGTCTATTAAAACTAAGAAAAAAATAAAACATTGTATTTAAAAAAACTGCTTTAAAGAAACTTAATTGCCTGTGGTTCTATTACTGCACTCTAAAAAAATGCTGGGTTGTTTCAACCCAACTTTGGGTCAAATATGGACTAACCCACCTTTTGGGTTAAAAATTTAATGTAAAAATGTAACCCAACAGTTAGGTTAGTCCATATTTGACCCAAAGTTGGGTTGAAATAACCCAGCATTTTTTAGAGTGTGGGATGCTGATCTGATATTTCTTAATTACATTATTTTTAGCATTTCAACAATACAATGTTATAAAATAATAACTAGCAAACACTTGGATGTAAATTTTCACAATTCAGTGGCTCCAAAAATTATTTGGACTCTGAAACAACACTTAAATACACAAACAAAGAAAAAAATGATGTAAGTGTTGTATATTTGTATATGATGTATGTGGTATATTACACACAAATATGCAACAAAGGCAGATTCTGTCCATATAAAGTTCAATCAATAATTAAGAATGATTCTGAAAATGTGAAGCTAATTTGTAATAAAGCTCTATCATTATTTGGTTCCATATGCCATTTAGTTTGAAATTTTTAATACAATGAAAAAGAAACATATTGAAGGATTACAAATACACAAGTAGAAATACAGAAGTTTAAACCTTTTGGTTAGTTTATCAAATATATCTCAACATTGTATTTCGGAATTTTAAATTTAAATTCTTAGACTCTTCTATTGAAAGGATGAAGACAAAGATGCTTCTCTTTGGAATGCTATCAAATGAATTTGATATGCATTCTGCATGATGTATGTTCTCTTTCCAGAAGGATGAGAACTAAAGAGGCAGCATAAGAGCAGACAGACAGACTGCTGGGATGTGGAGCTATAGGTATCCAGCTATGCAAATGCTCCTGTCAAAGACTAATCCTGCACTTGGTTGTTCTATCCATCCATGCCAAGCTGAAGACAAAGTGGAGTTTGGCAAAACCACAGCATCTGCTTATTCTACCCTGACTGAGTCTGTCTGGATTGCTTCACATAGAGTTTTTAGTCTCAGTGGAAGGATGGAGATTTGCCTATGTGCAATGTGATGGACTGGACAAAAAAGAAAAGAAAAAAGAAACGTATGAAAGAGGGTTTGTTTTGTTGTGAGAGAAGACTCTTGCTTCGCTGATGTGACCGAAAACACCCACCACCTTCTCATGATGGTGCTCTTCTCTCTGGAGACTTCAGTTCAGCAATGCTGAGAACAAGCACAGTCGCATCCCTACGGGTACATGCTTTTGTTCTGAAGCCACGAGTCTCACGACAGCCAATGAGTGATCACGGGTTGGCGTTGACTTGGCACAAGTGTTCAAAACATCCTCCGCCCACTGTACGGTTATCTAGAAAAGGCTAGTTTCTATAACAGCCGCCATAAATAAAACGCTCTTGTGACGTTATTATTACAATGCTAACGTGATGTGGAGCACTTGAGTGGTGCAGCGTACAAAAGATAACCATGGTAAATTAACATTTGGCATAGTTATTATTACTTTTTTGCCTACCATAAAACCTTGTTATCTTGTTTCTATCCTACATAGTTTTACATATACATAAACCAAAAATTATTCTGACACCAGATATAATTTTTACTAGTGGGTGCAGGACAATATAGTTCATTTATGTAAGTGAGGAAAGCAAAATAAAGTAAACTGTGACATAATATACCCAAAAATTCTTCATACAGTGGACTGCCAGTAAAATTGATAATTTCTGGGACCAAAAATTATTCAGACACTTTGACCTGACCATGTTTTGCTTAAGTGTTTTTTTTCTTTAATTGCTAATGCGACCTTTTTACACCATAGACTGAACAAAATTAAGCATTGCTTGGAAATTTGTTTACCTAAATTGGTATTATCTAATTGTGTACTTAAATTTAAGTTACAGCTGACAGCTACTCAACCTAATTCATTACATACCTTTCTATCAAAGTTATCTGACATTAAGATGAATTTGTTCTGCCACAGTTTAACTTGTCATACTTTATTACTACAGGTGCATCTCAATAAATTAGAATGTCGTGGAGAAGTTTCAGTATTTCAGTAATTCAACTCAAATTGTGAAACTCGTGTATTAAGTAAATTAAATTAAACTATAGCGAATAAACTGATAATGTGAGAAATGTTGGTGTCTGAGATGTCTGAATAAATTTTGGTTTGACTGTATACACACACATGTATGTCTATTATTTTGCCAATGTAAGCATTATATATACATGCATACATACAAACACACATGCATACTAAAAATCTATGTAAATAAACAAACAAACACAACATTTGAATTTTAAATATAAACATAAAATTAAACAAATGAATAGATGAATAAAAAAAAAAAGTGTGTCAGTATAATACAAAGCCTCATGCAACAATCATAAAAATCCATCCCAATTTAATTTACAACTGTAATTTTAATCCTAACTGCCCGTTCAAATTATTAAATACTTTTTGAATTAAATCTACAATGGGCTACATTAAAATCATTTGTAATTCTACTTCCCTTTAAATAAAATACACTATGGTGGACAACAGACCAAAGAAAACCAGTTTATGTTATTAAAAAGATCTACAACTTGCTGAGATAAAAACAATACCTTTAATTCTAATCTGTCCTTGCAGATGATTTACCTGTCAAAAGAGAAGGATGCTTTGTGACACAGCGCTCCTTATAAAGATCACTAGGTCATGGTTCCTGTGAAACAGAAAAGGAATATTCTGTCATTAGATGAAACAGAACAACAGCAGGTTGAAGCGACATAAATCTTCCTATTAGCAGTTTTCTATAGGTGAAAGCAGAAACGCTGTCTGTACCTCATCCGGCTGCAAAGCAGCATGTGAAGAAGAGGGCAAGGAAAGGGAATGGTGGTTTGCATCTAATCAATGCAGTTGCTGTGGAAACGCTAATCTGCTTGTGTGCTGATTAATAGCTAAACAATAGGATGACAGATATTTATGGATGCGTGCCACTCCACAGAAGAGGCCATCAAGAGATATGGAAAACAAGCTTATGAGAGTCTGCACTCAAGCCTCAAACACAACCTCAGCAAACAAGGACATTAATATTCATTAAAGCACAAGACAAACATTCAGCTGCTGCTCTCTACGGTGCATCTGAAATTCTGTGATTACTTTTTATCATTACTCCAGCCTTCAGTGTCACATGATCCCTCAGAAATCATTCTAATATGATGATTTGCTGCTCAAGAAACATTTATTATTATTATCAATGTTGAAAAGAGTTTTACTGCATAATAGTTTGTGGGAACTGTTATACATTTTTTCAGTATTCTTTGATGAATAGAAAGTTCAAAAGAGCAGATTTATTTGAAATAGAAATCTTCTGTAACAATTGTAATTTTATTAACATATTTACTGTTGGTTTTGATCAATTTAATGCATCCTTGCTGAACAAAAGCATTCATTTCTTTCAAAAATGGTGATTGACCCCCTCTGCAGAAATATACAGCAGTTTTATCTTCCACATCTATTATTTTTGATTTCTTTGATGAATGCATAAAAAAATATCCTAAATATGTGGACTTAAGGACTTCATTCTTGGTGAGTTCAAAACCACTTTCAATGGAAAGCAGAGAAAGCAGATTAAGTGACTCAGTGAACACTGTGATCTTGCTATCTTGAGCAAATTAAAAACAACAGGTTGATGAATGTCTTAACTCTTCCAGACACACAAGCTCAGATGACTTGACTAAGCCTTGGCTGGCTTTCTTGCCTACTCAGATTCCATGCTCTCAATCTTATTCATCTGAGTTTAAAGACTTTCGGCTGTTTTCTCGCTAAGGATCAGCGGTAAGCCCCTCAGTGACACTATGACAATTCATCTTAGTCCAGCACAATTTCAAAACCTCAAACAGAATTACATGTATGATTTTGAAGTGGAAATTCGGGCCAAATGGGGACATCACTGTACCGCTGTCTGCCAGTAAACTCAATGGTCGGTTTACTGGATTCTTTGCACTGGGATGCATTTTCACTCCACCTAGAATAGGAAGCGAAGATGTGCATGACTGAGAACTCCGTGTAAACAACTTCTCTCTCCATACGGAGGGAGATTGTGGCTGAACTTTAACTAATATAAATCACACGTCGTAATAGACTTAACAAAACATTAATTTCGCAATGAAAGCTGGAAAAAAATGGGATTGCCAATGGGACTGGAACGTTCTGTTGGTGATCTACTGAAAAAAAGCAAGTTAAAGAACACAGATGCAACTAATTTCCATAATGACCAATGCAATCTACCAAGAACAGCACAAATTAGCAACTTTCACAACCACGTCAAGTACAAAATGGGTTGATGTGATTTAAATAATTAGGGCCCTATGAAATCCATGTAATTTTTTCCCAAATTCCGTTTTTTTCAGTTTTTAATTTTTCTAGACTCTGTTTTAATGGTTAAATAAATTTTATTCATCAAAAAACATGTCTTACAATATTAAACAGCAATTTATTGATTTTTTTTTTTTTTTTTACCAAAAATTAAATTTTTTGTCCCTATGAAATACGTTTTTTTTTCCTTTCTCAAATTCAGTTTTAGTTTTACCAAATTTTGTTTTCCATTAATTTTCTGGATTGCATTTTAATGGTTTCATTAAATATTAATAATCAAATGCATCTCCAATTAATTGATTTTATATAAAAAAGTAATTTATTATTATTTATTTTTTCCCCCTGAAATACTGTTCTGTGTATTTACATTTTTCTGCTAAATAAATTCTGGTAAATATATTTTTCTGGTAAATATTCATTTAAAAGTAATGTTTTAATAATAATTTTATTAGTAGTAGTAGTACTATCATTACATTAAGTAATATTTCTGTCACAGTTTCTTCAAGTTAAACCAATTCTTTTATTTGACGGGTTGCTGTGAACACCTTGCATGACTTTGTTTTACTCGAAAGAAATGGTAAAATGCTCATGAAGTGACAAGTCTATATTGCGTTTTGATTTAAGTGCACTGACCTACTATTCATGAATCCATCCAAAATTCAGCAAATTCCATGACATTCCGCGTTAAAAATTCTGTTTTTATGACTGGATTTCACGATTCCATCCGCGTTTTCCACATCGTAGAAATCATAGGGCCCTAAATAATTAAGCAAATACCAGTAAATTGACGACTGCAAACCGAGTTAATCACATTGCATAATTTATTTAAAGGTGCAGTTTGTAAATTTTAGTGACATCTAGTGGTAAGGTTGCAAATTGCACATCGAGAAGCTACGGAGGCTGACACAGGACAAAGATGTCGTCGTCTGAAACGACGGTTTCTTGTACATGGGTAAATTAAGGAATTATACTTTATTATTATTCAGTAAACCAATATGTTACTGTGAATATTGTTGTTACTTGTTCATCATTGTTTCAGTATTTTATTCGCAAGAACAACATAGTGACGAAATGGACTCTGTAGAGCAGTGTGTCCGTTTAGGGCTACTGTAGCAACATGGCAATGGAAAACAGCAACTTCTATGCAAGGGGACCCACAAGGTTATTATAGTTTTGAATTTTTAAATTCGTTTTATTTTAATATCGTTTTCAAATTTGCTATAAAATTCAGTTTCGTTTTTATTAGTTTAATTCATATTTTTGTTAGTTTTAGTTTAGTTTTTATTTTGTGAACGCATTTTTATTTAGTTTTTATATAGTTTAGTTTCAGTTTTAGTTTCAGTTTTAATGAAAGTTTAGCAGAATTAACAGATCACTTCCAGAGCGCAGGCCAAAGAAAGACGTAGGCATAATTTAACCTTAGTGAGGCAAACATATAGCGACACAAAACGCATGCTGAGATTGATTAGATAGTAAAAGTATACAGACATACACCAAAGAAAGCAGGCAAGCCTATTTTTTACTAAATTAATCTACACAAGTCGCGCTTAATGTCATATCCAATAATGTGTGTTGAGATATTTAGTATAAAAATAAATGTAGCCTGATTTGGTTATAAGTCTTTTCTTATTTAATCATAATCATATTGTAACTGTGGTGTCTTGCTCACTTTTCCGTGAACAGCCGTGCATCAATCAAAACTGGGACTAATGAAATTCAATAATAACAGCAATCGCATTTAACAGTAAAGGCTTATATTTGAATGTTCTTTTCATTTATGAAGAATTATAACCGTGTGTATGATGTGATTTAGCCAATGCACATTTGTTCAAAAGCCTGGCAGAGTGATCACAAGATGCTTTGCTAAAGTTTTGTGTTGTTTACAGAAAGGATGCGCGTTCTCATCATTTTTTCTGTTAATTATCATGTCTTTTTCTTCAAAGCACCAACTTAGAATGCCTAATGTTGGTTTGATTGCTTGTGTTACATGATAAAATAAATAATCTTGCTTACCTGATGTAATAGATTTAATGCGAGTGCGGTTCGGGTCGCGACTCGCGGTCTTTATGTCAAATGGTTCTGGTCTCGTACAGAATTAAACTAGTGCTGCTGTCAGATAATGGGTCGGGTGTTCTGTTAAGTACTGCTGGTGCACGTTTACCAAACAGGACCCATGCAGGCTTTAAACTGCTTTGCGTCTCTACGTCAAATAACCCCATGTGCATGATGCACCATTACAGGTAGGCTATTTCCCTAAACCTCCACACAGCTCGTATATTTTTCCGCCAAGGGGTGAGAACGTAATGATTGCGAAAACGATTATTTATTTTTGATAATTATTATATTATTTCAGTTAGTTTTTCAATAACTTGTTAGTTTAGTTTAGTTTTTCAATTATTTTGACGTTTTTATTTTATTTCAGTTTACGAAATAGTTTTTTCATCAATCGTTTTAGTCTTAGTTTTAGTTTACGAAAATAACCTTGGTACATAGACAGAAATTGCTCATTCTAAGGCAATAAAAACATAACGGTCCATTATGTAAGATCTTCATACACCTCTGAAAACGTGTATATTATATTGCGTTTCTGTCAATAGATCCTCCTAAATATTACACATTGCACCTTTAAATATTCTTTTACCATAAATTTTGCGTCTGAAAGGGAAACTCCAACAAATGCATATGCAGCCACATAAATAACTATGTCCATGCTTTTTTTATTGCTAATTGATCACTGCATGTTTTTAGTAAATCCTGTCACAAGTTTTTTAATGCCAAAAGAAGGTTTGCGCTGGTGCAAGTTGTTGATAAATCTGGCCCTAGGCATCATAAACTTTTGTAAATGTTTTTTAGAGAAAAACATAACACACTAAACAGCTGAGTATCACACTAGATATTCAAGTTGCTCTGAACACAACAAAGCCCCACAGAACCATGCGGCTTGTTGCAAATGAAAACAATGCGTGTTCTCAAACCAACTCAAAATATTCTCTGATAGAATATCTCTGGATAAAATCAAAGTCTGAAGATAAAAAATACAAGTCCATCATAAACTACGCAATTTCCTGTGAAATCTGTCAATTACGACCGGCCAAAAATCTTTACACTGCTTCTAGCTTTTGGGAACTAACCTCAACTCAAATCAGGACAAAACTGTGTAGTGTATTCCAGCCTGAAGTCGGAGTTTGCTATGTTGAATGGAAAAAATCCTAGGTGTGTTTCTCAGTTGTGTTTATTAAAATAGTTAACAGTTGTTCCATAAAGTCCAAACACCAATCCAAGTGGCGTTTGGCGGGACACATTATGGCCGTATTACCGCATTACTACACAATGAGAACTTCTCTTCACACAAACACTGAATGACTCATCCACAGTAAACTGGAGGGGGTCAGCTGTGCTGCTAAATATAGCTGTGAGACTGGCCAGAATAAGCATCAGAAATAAAAAAGAAACCCCTCCAACGCTTTTCCATGTGTGTGCAGAGAATGCAGGCATCAGGAGTCAGCACAAAGAAAACACTGTGAGAGCCGCTCGAGTGAGGAAAGGAAAGAGAAGGGGGAAAATTCCTTTACCATTCCCAAAAATCCCACATTTTTAACTTTTCCAGAAAGCCAGCTAATTCCCAAGAGGTTGTCCCTGAGCACAGCGCACATGGCCTTTGCCCCTCCCACTTCCCCTCATGCCATTGGCCCATAAACCAGAAATCAAAATAGCTTGCTGTCAACTACTCGGCATTTGATGGGGTTTATTTGATTGAATTTAAAGTCAAATACCCAAAAGATGCAGATTTACTTAAAAGTGCTGCTCATCAAGGATTTAATGCAATTTAAAAGCTGACTCTCTGGTTCCCACGTGACCATACAGTTACTTCTAAGAATCTACTTGCCATTTTTGATAATATGATTCAACCCAATTAGTAAGACATGCAGTTACAATGCGTTTTTATTAGATTTCAGTGAAACTACATTAGCACAAACCTTATGCATCTTTTTCAGAACAGCAGATGTTTGGATGTCTGATTCATGGTAGCTTACCATTTTCATCAAGCAACAATGTGGCAAACAATGACATAAACTTGTTGATCATTTCGAAAAATGGCCAGAGTGATGAAATAAGCGGTTTCATGGTGTTCTTTTTGGGTAAACAAACATATCAACACCAGACATCAGTGCTACAGTTACTCAAAAACAAACTGGAACAATGACAGCTGTGTCAATGACAAAATAGAGTTTTCAAGATAAATGAGAAAAATATTTTAAAGATCTATGTGCCTATCTCTATTCATGTGGTTTTGAAAAACTTTTTATATTTAATTTTCATATTTTTCACATAAGTAAGATTTTAATTTTCAACAAATGTTTAACATGACTGTTACATGACTGTAATGTGGTATAACCATAAAGTAACAAATTATTTTTCTTGAATACATGTGAGCGTACATCTAAATCATTATTTTCAAAAAAGATTTTTAAAGGAATAGTTCACCCAAAAATGAAAATCTGCCTAAAATGTACTCACCCTCAGGCCATCCAAAATGTGGATGAGTTTGTTTCTTCATTAGAACAGATTTGGAGAAATTAGCATTACATCATAAACAATGGCTTGAAATTAAAAACGCCTCAATGACAGATTTGTTTCCTACAAACCTGCAGCTTTTCATTTCACACCATATTAATTGATGGACTGTAGTCATGTGGATTACATGTGGATTATTATTATGATTATTGTATTTTTTATCTAATGGCACACATTCACTTCAGAGGATCCATTGGTGAGCAAGTGACGTGATGCTAAATTTCTCCAAACTCATCTACATGTTGGATGGCCTGAGGGTGAGTACATTTTCATTTCATTTTTGGGTGAGCTAGTCCTTATATATATATATATATATATATTTCATTTTGGGGGAGTCACACCACATAACATTTTGCAACCTGAACCTTGCCATGCAATAAAATCATCTGATAATTTAAGAGTAGGGATGTAACGATTCACTCAACTCATGATTCGATTCGATTCACGATTATTATAATTTTTTTTAACAAAATTAGATTTAAGACAAATTATAAATTAAATGTGTCCTTTTATAAATAAAAATATCTGCATGAAACAGCAAAGCTGAATGAGACGCAGATTCACTCTCTGCAAGCAGGTGGCGCTTAAAGTGTTTCCTGGTTTCCGCTGTAAACTCAGCAGCGCTGAACTTACGAACTTTAATATGCTTTATACAGAGGCAAGATGAAAAGAAAAAATACCATCTAAACTTTTCTAAAGACAGTAAGTTCCCCTCAGACATGCATTCATATGAACTCCTACCCCTAAATGAATCGCGATTTGTTTAGCATCTCAACCGATTTAAATCGTCACATATTTGAATCGATTTTCAACCGGCTCGCAGTTAATCGTTACGTCCCTATTTAAGAGACTTCTTGACTTTGACACTCAATCTTGAGGGTACTTTTATGATGCATTTCCTGTTTTACGTCAACCTCCCCCCCCACCATGTTTCTGCATTAAGTTGCACCAAATGACTTTGATTTGGCAGACAATATTTATATTATTTAACAATGCATGCTGACTACTACACTTTCCCATTCAGTAATATATTAAAGGAGATGGTTCAGAAAGAACAGATATATGAGGAAAACAGGCGCAACCCAACGAGTCATTTTGCACAATCTTATGAGAACGCATCCCATGCAAGTTCATTGACCATTTGAGAAGCTTAAATTTTGGTTGGCAGAGCTGACTTACTCATTACATTGACGGCTTTTGATCTAAGGACACCTGAGCTTGGATATGAATCTGGTTCATCAGCATCAAAGCCTGTGAGGTCGCATCACATGACATCTCAGTGGAATGTTATTGTGTCATGTGAGCGGGGGTGGGGTGGGGGGGCTTATTTGTCCTGATTCTCTTTTCACCAGGCATCCGTTTGAAATACGAACTAAAAAAAGCCAGGAAGATGTTTAGTTTAACGGAACAGTGATATCTACTTAAGCAATGACCTCATTCTTATTTGTGAACTTTAAATTTCCAAACTACAGTTCTAATGCACAAAATAACATTTACCCGATGATAACAGGTAACGATAAAAAGCTTGAGGCCGCAAACTTTAAGTCAAACAGGCGACGCAGCAGACTAAGAAAACAATGTCCAGACCACCAGGGACACATCATGCTTACAGCCACTATAAATACCAGGACCTACAGCTTTCAAGTCCAGCTGTAGTCTAAAGATCCTGTCTTAACTGTAGACGTGTGGACATTGACCAGATGATGGAAGGTAGTATCAAAACACTGCCCGTTGTTTTACACAAAGTCAAATAATTCCTTTAAATTGATTCACAGACAGAGAACGGTCCTCACCATTTATCTTTTCAGCACACGCTGTTTGACGAAGGACATGTGTGTGAAATATGCTGTGGTGAACTGACACCTGCGGTGGGTAAGATTCAGCCTGTCATCAATAAAGAATGCTTTATTTTTCAAGTCAACGTCCATAGCATGAGCTATATTTAGGCGAGAACAGACTATAGTCTTGTTCAGAGAATAATTTTTGATCATTATAGATTAAATACAAAAATGTGAGCTGAGAAGCCGTGAAAATAAGTTTGCATTTGATGCCATGCAGGCTAACAGGCATGGATAAACAAAACACGTGGCTGTGCCATTTAAGCGCTGCTTGCAAATATTATTCTTAAATCATAGCACACATTCACTATTTTGACAACTCTGTTTGTCTAGTTTGCCTGACATATTTCCATTAATATGACAAGCTTAAATAAATATCAATAATAACAATCTGGTTCATCCAGTCCTGGGTGGTCATGCTCTTCTTGACTACAATGACGGCAAATAGACAGAAACACAATAACAGTATTACTGTAAGTGTACAATGATACAGTAGGTCAAAATGACAACCTATTAAACTGAATTTAGTGAATATTAATGTATTCAATATTGCAAGAAAAGGTGGCCTATAGTCCATACTATATTTAGGCATAAAACTGGGCTAATTAAGGATTTTCTACCAGCAGTAGAGAGTAATTGGTCAGGCCTATGGCAGTAAACAATGGGAGTGTTTTAGGCACCACACCTCCACACAAATCACACTGTCTGAAGCTAAAGGTCGCTGCATGGGAATGCTCAACAATGCTGCCTTGCAGACACACCCATAATGCCAAGAGTGTGTGCATGCTTAACAACATTTTAATGAACTCTCAAGACTGTTTCACTTGTTTATGGTAACAAATACTCGACTCAAAATGCACTCTGTGACCTCACACCTGTTGAGTTGGAGCGAAGCACACAATTTATTAATTCTGCAGATGCATTTATCTTAAATGACTTGTAGATTTTTTGTTTGAATATACTTTGAATGCTTGCGCTGTACAAAGTGGAAATGTGCCGCTGTTGCTTTTAGAAGCTACTTCAATTTACAGTCCTTACAAATTATTAGTTTTGTATCCTAGTCATCAGGTTGATTTTATTCTTGAATAAAACCAGTGTATGGAAACCAGTGTATGATATGCATGCAAGCAATCAAAATTTAATTCAAGTATATATATATATATATATATTAGTGCTGCCAAACGATTAATCGCGATCAATCGCATACAAAATAAAAGTTTTTGTTTGTATAAAATATGCGTGTTCTGTGTATATTTATTATGTATATATAAACACACACACACACATACAGTGTATATTTTGAAAATATTTACATGTCTATATTTATATAAATGACGAATGACGTCATCTGAACTTTCTATAACCGTGAACTGACGCCACTATTATCAATAATGGTGCTTCTAAATATTCCATAAAATTACTCTAAAAAGTTCTGAAAGTTACATGACACTGTTTCAGCAGCGAAAATATCAGGGGGGAAAATCCGTATAACAGTCCTTCAGTTAGATAAGAGTTCAGTTTGTGACTCATTATTCTGAATTATCGCGCAGGTATTTCATATATAAAGTGTCACTTGCAGCATATTACAATGACTGGAGTGTCATTCACTCCCTCAAGCGTGCGGCAGTTACATCTTATAGATACACAAATGAAACTGTATAAATATCTTACCGCTTGTTTGTCTTCCAATTTAAACGTGTCCCCACACGTCTAGAATACAATGCAACTCCGACAGGGCATTAATTTTCTTTCTTTACTGGAGTAGCAGTTGTTGCTGTGGGTAAAGATGGCCGCTCTTATTGTGTTGTTTAGCCGGTGATGTAATGAAGTTGTGTTAACCCTTCACAACACTTCCGAAGTGATACCACATCAACATTCAACGCAATCACGAAAGTGAACGGAATAAAAGTCATATAGTAATTAACATAACATCTTATTCTGAATGATAAACGTAAACAACAGTCTACGCAGCAATGCAATGCCCATAGATGTAAAAAAATTGATATTCCACTGCTAAGGAGAGATTTTCCCTCTCTGATGCTCACACTTATGTGATTTAGTCAAATCATGTTAGACCTCCGTGCTGAAAACTGGAGCTGAACTGTATTAAAGCTTATTTTATAGATGTATTATATTTAAATATATTTATAGAAAGATGTTCTGGAGTAAAGTAATTTTATAATGTCATAGGACTGGTTATTAGTGTGCTGCTGAGAGATTAATAAGCTCATATCAGTTACAGACCCTGATGTGAACCCTTACCTTACTTCTAAATGTCTGTCACCAGTCCAAGTGGGCTCTTAAAATAAACAGTCAAAATTACATGACGAAAAATAAGATAAAGTGATGAACTAAGATAGGTCTAAGTATGAATAATAATAATAAAATAAAAACTTTATAAATATACACTGAATTTTATCTATATTTTTGTATGACACTGCCATCCGGTGTGCTTTCAAAGTCAGTTCATGCCCAACAGTGATCATTACATGAACATATCCAAATATAATAACAGGAACATTTCTTGAGGAACTGATACAGCTGTGGGCAGCAAAACATTCCAGCTCATTACTCACAAAACTACATTCAAGCTCCTTGTTGTCACCGAATTTTTAAAACAACATTACTTTGTGTGCTTCCACAAGGTTGTTGCAGTTCAGAATGATAATATAATAACATGAAACTGCACTGTATATAGGCAGCCTGGTCTCATGTTTATACGTAGGTGTTAATACGTAACATTTACAAGCACAAAACGTACACTTTTGTACGTTTTTATTAATGCTAAAACGTACAATTTGGAGAGTGCACTGAACACATGAACGCAGAATAGGCAAAATAGGCCTATTTGTGCAAAATGCAATAACTAGGCTATATACTGTATGTGGGTAGTTAATACATGTCCATGGACTTTTATATTATATGGTCAACATATTATTCATAAAAAGCATTATGAAGTAATTAGCAAAATGCTGTTTAAAATGGTTTTAGATTGAGTTTAGCTTGTTATGGCATGACCTAAAAAAGTGATTCATGTCAATGATACAAAAGGTACAAAAACTTTTATTATTATATCATAACATGAAGCATTTATGAACTAATATGTACACTTTAGGTACAAATATGTACTTTAAGGTACTAAAATGCACACTTCAGGGGTAAATGAAAGATATAACTTTTGAAAGGGTACTGTCCCAGAGACAGATTTTGTACCTCTGAGAGTTAGGATAGCGCACCCAAAAATGAAAATTCTGTCATAATTTACTCACCCTTGTAATTCCAAACCTGTATGACCAACTTTCTTCTGTGGAACATAGAAAAAAATATTTTGAAGAAACCAAACAGTGTTCCAACTGACTTCTATAGTAATTTCTTTCTCTTTTTTTTTTGGCCATACAATGGAAGTCAATGTTATAACTGAAACTGTTTAATTACCAACATTCTTCAAAATATCTTCATACAGGTTTGGAATGAAATGAGAGTGAGTAAATGATGAAAGAATCTTCATTTATTTTTTGGGTGAACTATCCTTAATATCCTTAATACAAACATGTAAAGGCAAAGAGGCCTGTATTAAGGTATTTAATCTTAAGAAGTATTCACAATATTTGAGAGTAAATGCATGTGATATCTGATTGCTTATTGTAAGCCAGTGTTTATGGTGTTGAACTGTGGCCTCAAACATGAGGCAAGTTATGAACCCAGCAGGTAATTTCTTGAAAGTTTACAATATAATACTTGAGATAAACTACAGCTCTTGATTTACTTCAGGATCACACCGCCTTAATAAACTTTGCGAGTGTCCTTATGTTTCAACAGCCATTTAGAAAGTAGTAGAGATCATTTGCAAACCAAACCAGAGCCAACATAAAAACAAACTTAAGTAACATGGTGTGAGTCATAAGAAAGGTTGCTCTTTTCCCCTCTCTTTCTGTTTCTCCTGCTTCCGTTTCTCATGTCTACTCCCACATAGTTGGTTCAGGATGATCATGTCCCACATTGCTCACACTTCCCCGCTGATGGAGGTGTGAGGCTTAATCACGGCCCAGAATAGTGTGTGGTTTGGGGAAGGGGGGAGGCAGGCTGGATGCCAGCCGTATCTCTGAAAGTGCTGGCGTGAGATGTGACTCATTGTGGTGCCGTGTGCCTTTACGTTCTGCTTCACACACAGTGAGATGATGGCAGGATGGAGCCCCAGCTGCCTGAGAGACTTTGGGGCACCGACCACTGATTATTAATTTAGATTACAATCTATGAATGCTGCCACAAAACAGTCTGTGTTTGTGTTGCAGCTGTGGCCTGGCGGTCAGTTAGTGTATTAATGTTCATGTGTGATTATAGCCAATTCCCATTTCTGATTTCTCTATAAAAATGAGTTTTCGAAGTTGTACATAAAACGTGATTAACAGATGATAAAGTGGAAATAGACTGAAGAATGATTGAGCTCTGTTCTTCAAAATGATACTGGCTTACTTAGGCACCATTTGGTGTTGAAGTATGGTGGTGGGAAGACTGACCCGGTCATTTTAAACACCTGCTCTAAGTCTTTCTTTTCCGGGTGACAGTTTGTGTCCAGTCAGAGACAGTAATGTAGACTGTGTGCAGCACACATATTCCTTTTACCACGGCAAAAATAGAAAAACACTTGAGATGGCCTTTCTTCTGATGGTCAGAATGGTTGAATCTTTTTGTTTGTTTTTAAAGAAAGAATGGAAAAAAAGAATCAATACTTTTATTCAGCAAGTATCTATGAAATTGATTAAAAAAATGTTTAAAACGATTTCTGTTTCAAATAAATGCTGTTCTTTTGAACATTCCATTTATGACAAAAAAGCATCATGGTTTCAAACAAAAAAGACTGAAGACTGGAGTAATGATGCTGAAAATTCACAGGAATAGATTACATTTTAAAATACATTCAAATATAAAACTGTTATTTTCATTTGTTATAATATTTCACAATATGAAAACATCTGTTTGAAATTATAGTCAATGTTGAACTGACAAACATGCCTGGATACAGTAGGCTACAAATATAATTAGCCTGCTATTCAACATTGATATAAATTATAAATTATTCTTACTATTGAGGCAAACAAAGATGTTTAATAATAATTTGATTTAGCAGTGCTTACAGATATTATAACAAGCAAAAGTCTTTACCATAAGAACGACTGTGCATTTACCATGCCAGCAGCAGCAGAGGGCAGTATAGTATTTTAGTTTTGTCTAATGAGCTACTTTTTTTTGGACGTTACAAAATTAGACATTCTGTTTTGATCCTATAAACCAGAGCGAAATGATTTCTCAAGGAAAAATGCATGTCTCGCTATCGAAGAAACTGGGGAAATCAAAAGGAGAGTGTTGAGGCCAAATTTTCAGCAAATACCGAGAGAATTACAAACTCTAAATTTCACTTGTTGGTCACGTCTTGCTCAGAACAAAGCATCAGTGGCAAATTATTCAAATTAATCTGTCAAATTAATGTCCTTGACTGAATAAAGAGAGTCACAGATTATCATATTCTCATTATAATGCTTGTCACCATGATGACATTCACACATTTATTCTACTTTATGCAAAAATCTAAGATGAAATGATACATGAAGTGAATGTCTAGACAATGTCCTCTTGATAATACTGACAATGACCCTCGTTTCTAATGGTAAAATGGATCTAACTGAGCAGTAAGTACACAAGTGCGCACACACACACACACACACACACACACACACACACACACACACACACGTAAACACTCAGCTTAATTGTGAAATGTTTATTGATGGGAAAGCATATGCTGTCTGACGGCGTCAGACAGTGAGAATGGGGGAGGTTTGAGGAGCTTTATTTGGTGTGTAATGAAACCCTTCTCAATGGATGGATGCTGAAAGCTCAACATCTGCATCTAATTTAGTGCCCCTCCTATGATGACGCAGGAATGTCGCCGTTTATAGCTGAAGCATTCATGCCATCCGTGAGTACTTAGACTGCAATGGTTAAAGTCCTGCCAGGCCTCAGAATTCACGCCACATCCTGCAAGCGTCCATAATGACATCCCATGGTGGAGCGAAATGTCGCATTGTTAATTGACATGCAGAAGGGTGTGTGTGTCCATCATGCCAACCAGACCAGAGGGTCTGACCTAGAACATTCGTCTAAGTGAGAGCAGAAATATGACCCAACCGCTGGGCTGAAGAAGTTGGGCTAATGGTGATGTATTAAAGCTCAGAACATAGAACATGAAGTGACTTCACAAGCTATAGCTAGAAGTCAGATATGGTCTCACTATAAAAAAAATCTAAAAGAATTCACTTAAAAATTAAAATAATTTTATTTATAATTTTATGTACTCATTGTCATGTTGTTCTAAAGCCGTATACATTATCTTTAAAAAACCCCCCACAACATTTCCCATCTATCTCACATTTAGGTACATATTAGAATGAAAGAGATGGATCATGGGTGGATTATCAGTAAATTGAAATTTTTAATTTTAGTCTGTTCCATATGACTTCAGAAACCTATATAGCACATCAGTCATTCAGTATGGACTACTTTCATAATAGTGAATTTTTTAATTTTAATGTTATTTTTTTTGTAGACAGTTTTTTTAGACTTTGATTTGTAAATAAAAAGCTTTGTGGACATAAAAAAAGAGGAAAAATAACTGCAGTGAATAATGTAGGTAAAGATAACTGGAATGAATAATGTAAATAAAGGCACAAGTTAAATTTTTTGGTAAACTATTTAATATTAAAAAAATAACATTTCGATTATACTATTTATATCACTTTTTTATT